TTTGTGAATTTATTTTGGATAATGATAGAATTTTGACAGTGATTATATACAGTTGGTGACTCCAGGAATCTTTGTGATTAGTGAGAGTGAGAATGCTATTGGTGGTGATGAACAGCAAGATGGACATGTAAGTATAGGATTAGGAGTGTCAAATAAATTTGTATGGCAAAATGTAGACTCATTTCCTGTTCCACATCAAAGATTTTATGATGGATCTGGATCCTAATTCAATATGAACTGGATTTTGTGAGTGCATTTGAAAAAATTTTGTTATATAGCTCTTGTGCAAATCATTGTAGATGAAACAAACAGATATACTGAGCAAGAAATTTTGAAAAGTGTCAATCCTTTCACATCTTGCTCTAGGATTAGGATATGGGAATATGTTACAGTTGATGAAACAAATGTGGTTTTGGCTCTTTTTATGTTGATGGGCATTGTACAAAAGCATACACTTAGATCATATTACTCAAAGAACTGGCTGCTACTCAGTCCATTTTTCTGAGGCTTCTCCTATGGAAAGATTCATTCTGCACCAAAGTAACAAATACCAAAATCTGTATTTTTTAAATGAGAACATTGCAATAGATGACTATTTACTCTGTGGAAATGTGGTTTGTCTTTCAGACAGTACATACCTTTCAAGGTTGCCAGATTTGGCATTAAAATGTATGAACTCTGTGAGTCTAGCGCCATAGCTCAAGCGGTTAGTTGCTGGCTTCCCATTGCGGCGGCCCGGGTTCGATCCCGGGTCTGGTCAAGTGGGATTTGTGGTGGACGAAGTGGCGCTGGGGCGGGTTTTTCCAAGTACTTCAGTTTCCCCTGCCAATCTTTATTCCACCAATTGCTCCACAATCACCCTCACCTATCATCTGGGGCTGGTACAATAGGCCAGAAGTGGCCGCAGTACAAGGGACTTAGTCCCACCCCACTAGTAATAAAAAAAAGACTCTGTGAGTCTACCTCCAGCTGTGTTTGGTCTTTTCTTGTTTACACAGTTTGTGATTGCAGAAACTAATAAAACTGTCAGAACCTCTTCTTGGTCATAGACACACTGTGTGGATGGAAAGTTTTTATAATTCATGAAGTTAAAAAAAAAGAACTCTAGGAATGTTACAAGTGAATAGGAAAAATATTCGTCCTGCAGTGAAAACACCGGAAAAAGGAGAGAACTGTGGTCATCACTCAGGAGGTGTGGCAGTTCTTGCATATGAAGAAAAGATGCAAGTGACTATGACATCTGTATACGACAAAGATGAAATTCATGTGGCCATGAATAAAGCAAACAGAAGAAACAGCCTTTGGTTGTGATTATAATATAAACGTGTCAAGTGTTGATCTGAAGGCTCAAATGCTACAGCCATTCTTGCTGGAACAAAAGAAAGGTATCAAGTGGTATTTGAAATTATTCAAGAGACTATGCAGTGTAGCAGTACATAATGCAATCATCGTGTATGGACACTCCCAAATAACAGAAACATAGATTCACTAAAATTCAGGTGTTCACTCGCACAAGGTCGTGTGGAAAAAAAACAGTTCTGGTGTTCTCCATCCTGTGCATGACCATCCTTCAATTTAACTGCCATCTAAAAAGATTGTATTTCCTGGAGTATATTCCTGCCATTGGAACGAAGGCAGAACCTTAAAGAAAATGTGTGGTGTACACAAAACACAGTAAAAGCAAAGAATATATTTAGTGGTGTAGTGGACATAAGGTGCCAAAGGATGCGTCTGGCAGAGGAAGAAGTATTGTTATAGAACTCATGAGCAGGGCCCCTTCCTTCCAGTCTGGTAGTGGTCAAAGACCAAGTGATACACTCAGTGCGAGGGTGTAGTATTGTCTAGATTGGAGAGCTCCCTCGGAGTAGAAAATGGTCTGAGAGAACCAAACCCGTGGGCCCATCCGCCAGAAGGAATCTACATAGCCAGAACCTATGTCCAAGTCTGCCAGGAGGTACTTGTGAGAGCCTTGAATCCTACCCATTGGGACCAAAAGCTCACGAGAGGATCCCCTCTGGCACACTGTGAGCCAGTCACGCTGGTGACTGCCCGATGTGGAAGAGCCCCGGGCACAAAACCCAAGATTGAAACTACAGGACATAATCATGGCAGCCAGACCACATTTAACTGACGGAGAATTTCGGAGTCAGAAGAGCTCCTGACCGAATATGGGGACATTTTTGCTGGGGATAACGGAGACTATGGGCTAGCTAACACAAAGTGTATCAGCATATAGATAAGGGAGCTCCCGCACCCCCAACCGATTCGTCAGCCTCTGAGAAAGATATACCTAGCAAAACAAGTAGAGGTAAGTGAGATTCTCAACAACATGCAACACCGTGAGGTTATCAAGGTATCAGACGGCCTTTGGTCGTCTCCCATCAGGAAAAAGAATGTGTAACTTCGCTTCTGCATGGACTACAGTAAATTAAACGATGTCACAAAGAGAATTTTTTCTACTGTCCCGGATTTATGACACTCTAGACACGCTGGCCTGAGCCAAATGGTTCTCCACATTCATTCTACAGGAAGTACAAACCGGACAACGACCGGAATGAAAAAAAAAATCGCCGAACACAGCCCCACGTGCAAGAACAAATGGGCTCAGTGGAAATCGCGTACTGTGATAAACGGCATTTTAGGGCGCAAATGGGAATCCGCCAACGGCCGATCTCAAATAGCCCAAATAGTTATCCCTTGGAGCAGGGTAAATGATATGCTGACCAAGCTATGCCGTGGATCGTCAGCAGTTCACTTTGGTATCAAAGAACCCTGAATAAAGTTCGGCAAAGGTGCTCTTGGCTTCAGGGAAGAAGCGATATTGAAAAATGGTGCCGACAGTGCGACACCTGTGCAGCTAGTCGCAGTCCGCGGACCAGGAATCGGGGCCAAATGCTAGTCGCAGTCCGCGGACCAGGAATCGGGGCCAAATGCGCCAGTACAATGTTGGGGCTCCGTTCGAAAGGATAGCCATCGATGTAGCAGATCCCTTCCCACGGAGTGACCAAGGAAACCGATACCTTCTGATCGCTATGGATTATTTTACAAAATGGCCGGAGGTGTACACCGTCCCCAATTAAGAAGCTTCGACAGGAGCGGAAGCTCCAGTTACCAACTTCTGCCATTTCGGCATACCTTGGGAGTGATATAGTGACAAGGGCCGTAACTTCGAATCTCGTCTGCTGCAGGAAGTTTTACAGCGCCTCGGAGTGAGCAAAACGCGCACCACGCCCTTGCACCCGCAGTCGGACGGCGTGGTGGAGTGCTACATCAAGACGATCTAGACGGCCGAAGAGCACCTACGAAAGGTCGTCGCGTAGCACCAGAGGGACTGAGACGAGAGATTACCCCACTTTCTCCTAGGTTACAGGGCATCCACTCACGACACTACGGACTCGACTCCAGCCAGCCTAGTGTTCAGGCGAGAACTACGACTGCCCAGCGACATGCTGTTTGCAGCACACATAGACAAGGAACGACCTACAACCGATCGTGCGGCAGACTTAGTGGACTGTGTACACGACATCCACAATTATGCACGCCAACATCTGGAGCTGGCCTTCCCAAATGTTAACGTCAGTGTCTACCGGGCGGTACTGCCTCAGTTGAAACCTAACGGTGCCAACATATTCTTGGGCAGTTGCCACAGTCCCTCGTTCTATTTCACATCTCTTCCCAAATATTAACATTAATGCCTTCCCGGCCGGACTGCCTCGGTTGAAACCTAACGGTGCCACCGTACGCTGAGGCGGTTTCCCCAGTAGCCTTTGGTATGGCCATGGCTGGTAAAATCAGTGCATTCAATACTTGCCCACTATTGCAACACTGGTGAATCGACAGTAGCTTGAAGGAGTAAGATGCTTGGGCTTCGGCCCACCTGCATATCGAAGTATCAGTGCCATCACCGGGATAAGCAATTGTCCCGGGTTCATTCTTCCTTGTAGGTCACACCCCCTACAAAACATTAGCGTCAGTGCCTTTTCGACAGTACTGCCTCAGTTGAAACCTAACGGTGCCAACGTACGCTGAGGCGGTTGCCACAGTAGCACTTGGCGCAGTCATGTCTTACGAAATCATTTCATTCCATCCTTAATAGGAATAAATGTTTTATAAATGTTGATTTTGTAAATTATTTAAAATGAGTTGGAATGGTAGCCATGACCAGTATAAGTCAGCTTGTGAACAATTGTATTATACGAGTGCTTTCTCCTGTTTTCTTACACTGAGTATTGACATGGAGGGGACAACTTGTAGTTTCTCCAAGCAATCCGACTACTACTGAGTTCATTGTGCACCCCAGTTTCACTAGGGCCCATAACATACCTTGCCCCATTACTAGAGCCATAAACTTTTTGATGCCGTACTACTGGCTCCAGCACGAAGAGCTGAAAGTCTTCATTCTGTACTCAGCCAAAGCTGTGCATTGACGGCATTGACAGAGTAGGTTGTAGGAGGACTGTGCTCCTACTCACATTTCTTGCATATGGCATTATTCAGGAAGCCTAACATGTAGGTACCTTTACGGTGAACAGTAAGCAGTCAACATTCCTGTTGCCAGTCTACACTTTTTCCTGTCTAAGGGCAGTAGGTCCCTAGATAGTTTTCTAAAGGCCTTTTATTGCAGAACTTGAATTGACTCATGCCTAGTATGTTAGCCCTGAAGATTTTTTTTATACCACGTTCACGGTTCACGAGAACACGGGTTCTTACCATTGTTGACCGGTACAGGGTTCTGCGCTTCACGTCGACCGGTGCACTGTAGCTTGCGAGGCAAATACGAATTTTGACAAAGAAGCGGTTTCATGCATGGCAAGGAGTTTCTTGAACCTGAGCGACTATTAACTCTTGAAGAATGACTACCTCGGGTTAGTACCTCTGGTTTGTGGAGGAGGTAAAGTTTATCATTTATTCGGCATGGCAGTGGGAAGCGGTGGGAAGATAATGTGGGTTTTAACTGGGGAACAATATTGGCCGTGAATTTTTGACCAATCACTGCATTTTGTTACTTGACTGTCAAAATGGCTGCTCTATCGATGTGCTTTTAATTTCCGGTGTCGTGGGGTTATGCGTGTGTAAAAATTACTTGAAATATTTAGGGAATTTAGTTATTTTTGTAACTGTATAGTGAGGTGCAGAACTGCAAAAGCGTCAGGAGACATTAAGAGGGAAGTAAGTACAAAGGTTAGTTTTGCACAACATATACTTGCTACATTTTTTCGTAGTTATTGAAATCCCCCCGCTCCACAAAACCTGGGAGCCTTGACCTGCGGTCCTCTCTTAGAGTAAGCATATTAGCAGATGTCAGTGTTACTGAATGCCCAGAGTTTTCTCTGCTCCAATTAAATTATGCAGCTTCAGTGCATTTTGACAGACTGTCTGGATGTGTTCAATTTTGACGAATAGAATGATCTTGTTAGGTTTCTTTTTTCGTTGATGACCCACAGAATGGAGAGTTCATGATTAACTATTTTGAAGTTATGACATGACCGCTTCTGAATACAATTTGTAAACGGTTTCTGCCGCTTCTTGATGTGATCTATTTTAATATCGTCTGGAACAGTTGTTACATAAAGTTCACAAGCTGTCAGTTTGATGGCATATACTGATGTCATCAGCTGCTGGTCAGTGTTGATTATATTTATTTATAGATAATATAAATGCCACAAGGAAAAATGCAGCTCTTATTGACACTAGTAAGGAGGCTAGTCTAGAAGCAAACACACAGAAAACTAAGTAAGCATTGATGGCTTGTCACCAGAATACAGCAGAATCATGATGTGAAGATAGCTAATAGATCCTTTGGATATGTCACGAAGTGCAGATATTTGGAAGTGACAGTAACGTATCAAAATTTGATTCATGAAGAATTTGAGAGCAGATTGAATTCAACTATATTTGCCACCATTCAGTTCAGAAGTGCTTGCTTCTCCTCTGCTATCTAAAAATGTAAATATTAAAATATATAAAACTAATTTTGCATGTAGTGTTGTATGGGTGTGAAACTTGGTCTCTGACATTATGGGAAGAACATAGACTGAAGGTACATATTTGAGAAGAGGTCCTGAGAAGAATGTGTGGTCCAAAGAGGGATGAAATGGTAGGAGATTGGAGAAAATTGCATAATGAGGAGTTTCATAATTTGTACTCTTTGCAAAATATAATTAGAGTAATCAAGTCAAAGAGGGTGAAATTGGCAGGGAATATAGTATGCATGAGAGTGAAAAGAGGAATTCATTTAGGATTTTTGTGGGAAAGCCAGAAGGAAAGAGAACACTAGGAAGACCTAAAGATAATTGGAGGGATAATATTAAAAGGGCTCTTAGATAAATGGGATGGGGTTGTATGGACTGCATTATCTGGCTGAGGACAGAGGCCAGTGGCCAGCTCTTCTGAACACAGTAATGAACTTTCAGGCCCATAAAATGTTGGGAAATTCTTTAGTAGCTCAATGACTGGCAGCTTCCCAACAAGTTAGTTATGCTGATAAGTATTCTTCGAGAACAGGAAAGTTGATTACGCGGTGTTATGTGAGAAAAGGTGGTATATGAGATGACTGTGTTGTCTGTGTTCTCATTTCAACTCCTGAATCAGTTGACTGAATTTCACGAAACTTTGTATAAATGGTATGCCACACCATCTCCACACTTACATAATTTCCTACAGTCAGTAATAATATGTCAGATGCATAAACTTGTTTGGCAGTAGTGACACTAATCCATTCTAATGTAGGGTCCAGAAGTGTGGTATGGTAATCGATCTTTGAAAGATATGCAACTTATGTGAAGGTATTTTTTGTAGTGTGAAGTAACAACATGGAGGCAGTGCAATATTCTTCTTTAGGTTTTGGGTTCATGGGGATAACTAATGAACAGTTGGAGCTAAGCATGTGGAGTTTGTTGTATAACTATATCATAAATGTACCTATACATACTTACTTATGGAGCTGAGCCCTTCTGGAGGAGCCGCCAATTCTGCAGCTACTCAAGAATTTCCCAGCATTTTATGGAACCCGAAGGTTCGTTACCGTGTTCACAAGAGCCCTCCACTGGTCCCTATCCTGAGCCAGATCTATCCAATCCATACCATCCCATCCTATCTCTCTAAGATCCATTCAATGATATATGACCTTTTCTTTTTAAAGGGCTGCATTGCTAAATATCCTTTGTCTGTGGGCAGAACAGTATAGCCTTGATAAAGAATAACCACTTTTTTTTCTTATTGATAGTAGGAACAGTGAAATTACTTTTGTCAAATTTATACAAGTAAACAAATGTAGAATGATTATAAGTAATTAGAACATAACAACTTACTAATGTGACAACTGGGCTTCTGCTCCAGATGCCAAGTGTTTGTCAGGTGCAGTACTTGTCATTCATTTGATATAATGATATTTTATTTGGGGAGGGCGATGCATTGCCACTTACAGGTTGGCACTTCCCTTGCAGTTTGCTATGTAGATCATACAAGTGCCCACAAATGTCTGTCATGAAGTTCAGATCACATATTCAACTTGCATGTTCAGAATGATTGACTAGTCGCCCTTTTTCAGTAAGAAAAACGTGATCTCTTCTTATAGTAATAGAGAGCATTGCAGAACCTTACCTTTGCTAAGCCAGTGAACTTCAGAGGAATAAAAATTGCCACCATATTCACTTTCGATTTTTTAAGGAACACCATGAACTGTCTTTGGCTTAGCCCGCATGACCTATAAAGTTAACTGCACCGATGGTATGCTGTACTTTATTTAATCCCAGAGCCGTACCAGTTAGAATTTGTTGATGGGTAATGCATTGGTACTTTATTAATTCATTTTTGAGACCTTTTTATTTACTTTTTGAGTCAATCATAAAAGGCGCACTGTCAGTAACTATATTAAAAAATTAGAGTTAATTTTACCAACCACACAACACGTTTTTATTATTGTCACACTACATGTTTCGACCTCAAGAGGTCATCCTCAGGTGTACGAACACAGTTGCACAATCTCACACAATCACATTCGTTTTTCCACTTATTTTGATCCTGTATCCTGTTCAGATCCACGCTCAATAATATATGTCGGTATGTGGTCGGTAAAATTAACTCTAATATTGATTAAGTACACAACAGGATACAAGAAACAATTAAATTTATGTAAGATTTGAGGCTTTCACGGCGGTGACTATGAAGAAAGCAGTCTTCTGGGATTTGGCACCGTGTATAGGTTAACACCACATATACACGGTGCCAAATCCCAGAAGACTGCTTTCTTCAATTAAATTTATATTCAAAAACATTGACATTTCCAAATTATGCTTTTGAAGACTACATAGTGGTGTCTAAATGATCCAATCCCAGTGTCTGGTGTCACGCTGAATGGAAGTCTACAAGTTCATTAAATACCACAGTTCTTCAGACATATCCAATTCAAATGTTATTTATGTTTTTGCAGCTGAGATGATGTCTGTTGATTCATTAGCAGCCAATGAATGGTGAAACACACTTGTAGAATATCTAAGAAACCTGAATGTCATCATCTTTTGAAATACTGAATTTTAGGTTCTTATGGGGGTGAGTAATGACTGGAATGGGGCTGCCAGACTGCACAGAGTCCTATCTCAGAAGAAAATATTCTTCATGGCTTGAAACAGTGTAAACCCACTATTGTAGTTGAAACTGATGGCTAGTATATCAGTTCATCTGTCACAACACAACTATAGTGTAAATAACTGAAGACAGTGACTGCCATGATGGAATCAGTATTTATTCACTGAGCTACTCACTACATGTTTTGACCATATAAGGTTATGTAAGGCGTTTAAAATGCTAAAAATGTTGTCATCATACATCATTGAACTTCTACACAATAGATCCTTTGTTACTAATTTCTTCTTACACAAACCATTCCTCAAAAAGTGATATAGTAAATTATAATTTAATTAAAATTAATGTAAGTAAGTCTATTTTTACTATTGCTACCGTATAAATTGACCGCCTCTTCGGTCTAGTGGTCAGAATTCCTGACTACAGATCCAGAGGTCCCGAGTTCGATTCCCGGTGCTGCCAGATTTTCTGAGAAGCAATGGGTTTGGAACGGGGTTCACTCAACCTCGTGAGGATAATTGAGGAGCTATTTCAAGGAAATAGCGGCTCCGGAGTTGAAAACCGAAATTAACGGCCGTGGGGATTCGTTGCGCTGACCACGTGACACCCTCTATCCGCTAAAGTAGGCAATCACTTCGCCGATAAGCGGCGGTCGCTCTGTCGGTATAGTTCGCTTGCGGACTAAAGCCACGGAGTGTATTTTGTTTGTTTTACAGTATAAATTAAATTTGTATTTGAAAACCTATCCAAGCCTACTTTCGTGGAATGAGGGGTAGTAAGAATGGAGTAGGAAGGGTGGTGTGTGTAGAGTAGATTTTGTTTGTGTTTCTGTGTGGAAGTGTTATACTGTGTGTTCTAATTTCAGCTGATGTTGAGGTTCCTGTATTTTGTTGATGATGTGTTGCTGATGTTGCAGTAGATATGGTGTACCCCGTTGAGTGTTAGGAATGGACTTCTATTTATTTATATTATAGCGTGTAGAGCCGTTACTATGCGATGACCGCGAGACAGCCCCGTTTATAGGCAACGGCTCGGTTAAACATGTTCCCGTTGCTGGGCAGCAGAATCTTAATAATGCAACAGTTGGACTACAGCAGTGGAAGAGCTGTGATTTCTATGTGGTCCATGCCAAGAGGTTATAAATGAGACGAGGTTTGGAGCTTAGTCAGTCGATAGTTCTGTACGGGAGTCTGTGAAGAGACAACTTGAGCCGGAGGCAGAGGAATAGCCACTGTTGGAGCTGTTACCAGGAAACGTCTAGTAACCGACTGAGAACACTAGACTGTATGCCGTAGTGAATTATAAAGTGTGGAAATAGCAGTAGTGTTATAGTTATTTGTAGTTACGACCCATAAATGGCCAGTAATCTATTCACCAATCCAAACCCAGTCTATAGTCACACATACTATATGACAATGTTATGGCTGTGTTGTGATGGACTGATATACTATATATAGCAGAGTTACGCAACAGGATGGCAAACACGCATATAAAGAGAATATAATTTTTGCCTGCACTGGACCCAAAGAAGCAATTATTGGATTGCAGAGTGGGTGAAACATAACAAGGTACTACCACAGTGTTAAAACTAAGTAAAC